AAATATGTTATATTGTGAAATATTATATCGATTCAAAATAACTGTTTCTATTTTAATATATTTCACAGCATAGTTTATTATGATCCTTCAGAAATCATTCTAATATGCTGAATTGGAGCTCAAACATGTCTTATTATTATCAATAGTGAATGATCTTTTTTTCAGGATTTCAGGATATACATCTATATATATATTTAATTAGAAATATTTTGCAACATTATGAATGTCTTTACTGACACTCTTTTTTAACACATCCTTGAATGATATTCAATATTGATTTTATACACACACACACACACACACACACACACACACACACTGTTCACCTTTAGAAGAGCAGTGAAATAATAGAAAATCAGGAACTAGCAAACAAAGTAATGCCAGAAAGATTAAACATGGACAATAGTGCCACCTATATAACACTTATGAATTATCAATTAATCTCGTTTTTTTTTTTTTTATTAAAAATGCGTCTTTAACTGTTAACATAATAACATATAAAATATACCATGTCCTGCTGGAATGGCGTTGGATAATAAGCAATATCACGTGAGTGTAGGTGTATGTGTACTGTGTCTTGGTGAGCTGCTGTGCCTGTCAACACCATATGTTGTGAGAGTGTGTGTCTGACAGATATCCTAAGGTATTAACATTGGCGCAACGAGCCCATTTCAAATCAACCCAAGAAAACAAATAAAACAAAAACATAAATGTATGATTACTTACTCTAAAAGAATTCTCATCCAATAAAACATCACACTTGCACATCTTTTCAGTATTTTACTCAGTATACTTCAGTAATTTCACACACATCACAACATTCAGAGACGCTACAGAAATAATCTTGATGCGATGACGACAGACATCCTCTTGTACTCGTCAATGTATAGATTACAGCTGTACAGGCCACTTACATTATAAAGCTCTAAGAAATTCTTAAATGCTGGATTTGTAAAATTTGACAGTATATATATGCAGAAAATAATTTGATATGTGGAACATTATTTACATTTAATTATCAAAAACATCCTATTGATGGTCCCCTTTTCTTTTGTATATACTGATGTTTCTTGTATGTTGCATTTGGGTACCGTGATTCTTATCTCTGTTACTCTCAGGAAAAATTACAAAAATATGACCTTAGATGGAGTAACAAGAGTGTTATTTCAGTGAACAATGCCAGTATGGAAGGACAACGGTTGAATTGAATGATGAAGGCTGTCACTCTTTAAATGTCTCAGTAACAAAATCCTCTAAATAACTATAACATTCAATATAAAAACACAAGTCATTCATCTCAAGAAATGAAGGCAGAATTAATGAAGTTTTGAAATGTACTAAAGAAAACAACAAACAAGTGAACAAACAAATGTGAAACCACATGGACGTACATTTTTAATTTTGAGTTTAAAAGACTAGTGAAAGGATACTGTTAACTTGAACTCATTGTATGGATACAGGACCAAAGTAGGCCCAAAAGGAGAGGCAAAAGTGAATTTAAATAGTTTTGAAGGGATGCCTTCATTTCCTATACCTACTGACAGTTTTTTCAAAGTCATGGTTATATTCACTCCTGCGTGAAAGCCAGGGTAGGAGAAAACAGCTCTATTTCCTCTTAGCGTTCACACTCTTGCAGACCCAGTTCATGCCATCCTGGAACAACATTTGAGTCAGTTAGTCCAAATACTGTAGTTTTTGACTAACAACAAAATGTTATCCAAACCAACCTGGACTCCTTCTCCTGTGAGGGCAGAACAGGACTGGATCTGCCACACTCGGTCTCTGATAGTGTGCAAATTCAAACCCTCGGCTATCTCGGACGCAGGGGCTGCCGTGAGCAGGTCCTGCTTATTTGCAAACACCAGGACCGGGACACCGCTGAGCTTTTCTTCATCAAGTAACTCAGCCAGCTCCTGCATGCAGATCAGTTCACTTAATTAAACACTGAAAGCAGAAATTGCTTTGAATAGCGAAGAAATAACAGTCACAAAGCATCACCTGTCCCGTTTCCTCAAATCTTTTGCGGTCTGCACTATCAATAACGTAAATCTGAAATCAAAAGGAGTGCCTAATTAACAACGTGTTTGGAATCAAAGTGGATTGTGGAATGATTTTAAATCGGACAAATGATCGCACCAGTACATCTGTGTTCTCAAAGTAGTTTCTCCAGTAGGGCCTGATCTTTCGCTGACCACCGATATCCCATACATTTAATTTGAATCCTTGGGATTGGACGCTCTTGATATTGAAACCCTACAGATAAAAAAAAAAAAAAGTTATTAAACTTGCTATGGTAATAAAACAGCTGATTCAGTAAATGCATGTGGCATTAACTCTAATTGGCTTTATGCAACCATAGGGTGACCACAGGTAGTGCTGGGCGGTATGACCAAAAATTTATATCACGGTATTTTTCAAAATGATACCGGTTTCATGGTACATGACGGTATTTTTTTTTTCATGCATGACCGGGTGTTAACCATATTTTCTACTGATTGAGAAAGCCGCTAAAAGGGTCCGAAAGTTGCTCAATCTAGTGCTAAATTCGCACGCTCGTGTGTGTGAGACGCGGGAGCTGATGGCAGGGGGCGGTGGATATTTGTGGCGGTCAATGTGGATATTGTGGATGAGTTCTTCTGTGTCATCACGTTCTATTAGTTCTACAGCTTCAGTTTCGGAACTTTCACGCTTAGTAACACATACAGCTGTTCCCTCACCACAGTGCAACAGTGAAAAGGGACCCCTTTCAAACAGTGTCGCGTTCCGAACGTTGTTTAAGCGACATACACCAGTATTGCGGTATTTTAAAAATTCATATCATAACAAAAATAAACACCGGTATTCGGTATGAACCGGTATACCGCCCAGCACTAACCACAGGCCTTTTTTTCCCAGACATGCCCTGGCCAAGACTTCTAAATTGCCTAAAACGTCTGGGTTTTGGCTTTGTTTTCCTATTGACATGCTCTCTACAGTCCTCATACATTATATATGCACACATTGTTTTGACTGTTCTCTGTACGTCCCACCTTCTCCCAAGCCACGATTGGTCGATTATGTACAATGCCTGCATGCTATTGGTCAAACTACTTTTCAACCATTACATTCAGCAGGTATGAAAACAATAGGATAAAGCCAAAACCTGTACATTTAAGACAATTCAGAATTTCCAACCAGGACATGTCCGGGAAAAAGAGGAATTATGGTCACCCTCAGTAATCTTATTACCTGTGTTGGAGTAATATGGGTGATGTCTTCAGATGCCAGCTGTTTCAGTAAGGTAGTCTTGCCTCCGTTGTCCAACCCCAGAAGCAATATCCGCACCTCCTGGTCGGGGGTACTTTTAAGTTTCCGTAAAATTGATAACAAACCCTAAAAAAGTAAAAAGCGCAGATTATACAATGCTCTGAGTTTATGCAATGCGTGTAACATGACGTCATACGCACGAGCATACGCAAAAAGGTTTCGAGAGGAGCAACGAATGCTCAAGGGATAAGTATTTAAAAAAAAATAGATCTTGACATAATTTCCCCCTGAAATACGCATAAAAAGAGACTTAAAATGCAATACATAAGCGATTCTCGAACAGTCGTGACACCTAAACAGTCCTGCGAGCTAATCTCATCCACGACCGAGAACCGCTGCTCATCTTTAATACCACATGATTACAACAAATCCACAATTCTCCTCAGGCTAACACGACTGAATTTCACAACGTGACGGAGATGAAAATGTTCTCAGCAATCTCAAACAAACACGTCTACAGGGAAGAGTATGTTTATTGTAACCGCTTTAACTCACCATCTTGTGATTCTGCCTCCTGAGACGCCGCTGAGGGTTACCAAGGGGGTGACGTAGTACGCAAGAAATACGTGCATTCCAAGAAGGGCTAAAAGTGACGTAGAACACGAAAAACATTTAGCTCTGCTAACCAGTTTAAACTAATGATTACATGAGTTATACTAACCCTACCGATCTCAGTCATATATTTATGCTGCTGAGGTTCTCAAATCCACAGCAGAATATATATGTACACAGAGATCAAATAATATGAGGATAAAGAGACAGTGTAATAATAAATAAAATTTCATATAATTCCAATAAATTCCATAATAAATATTCTATAATATAATAGATATTCTGTAATGTATAATATAAAATTATTTCAGTAAAAGTATCAGAACGAATCGGTTGAACAACTTTTTACTAGTAAAACAATAAAAGTCATATGTTACAAATACTTCAGAAAATCAGGAATGTAACACAAACATTTGTACAATAGGGGAGGTTAATATAAATATAAATAAAAAATGTCTATATGAAAAAATATTAAAGAAATCCTCAGAATTTGAAGTGCCTTTTGAATTTTTGTTTCATAGAAACTCAAGCCAACATATTGTTCTATTTATTTTTTAAAGCATATAAAGCTGATTTTTTTCAGGAAAATTTACATTTGCGAATTTGAAATTTCGCCAGTAAAATAATCAAATTTTCCAAATCGGTTGAACTCCACCATAAAACACTATGAACGATTCGTTCATGAATCATACTGAATCGATCCGAGCGTTTCTCGAGTCAACAACACTGAACTCAACCACTGAATTCAGAAAAAAACAAAAAAACATACTACTGTCACGATTTCTGCCACATGTGTATAAACATATGGCAGAAAATGTAAGCGTAATATGTTATTCTGAGATCAGCTAATGACTCACTGACTGAACCGAGAATCGTCCCTTTCCGACAACATTTGGAGTGAACTGATTCTGGTTCTGAATGCCTTTGTGTTTTTATGTGTTGAATCGGCTGCAACACACTGAACTGGGACTTGTCAACTGCTGAAAATGTTTTATTGGAAACATTTTACAACATGTAATTTCATGACGCACAATAATAGCTGAATCGGTTGTTTTCGAATCGTCTATTTGAACTGTTCGAAGGAACCGATTTGCGGAAGTGAGTCTGATTTCCGATCAGTGTAAGGGGGAGGGAGATTCTTCTCTTCAGGGATTGGAAGGTAGAATGCCACGTGCTCGCCTATGTTGCAAGCCCACATCATCACAGTGTTTAACCCACTTCCTTGGTTTTTCTACTACTGCAGCGCCACGAGATATAAACAAGAGTGTCACGTCACTTTATAAAGGTATTTTCATGCGGCACATTTGATATTTGTGGTTTTGTCTGATTTGTTTTGACAGCGCATATCCGGGTGCTTGTGTGCTGAGAACATGAACTGATGCAAGCTGCTGGACAACTGATACAGTCTGCTTTCTAATTAGCTGCTACTTTGCTTGCTTCTAATGCAATTTTAATGCAGGGTTGGTTTTATGAAAATCCATGCTTAATGTCTGAGAATTATTGATGTTTTAAAAGCGAACGCATACTTTGTTTTGCCACTTCAAAAATGACATTTCTTGGTCTCTTTCCTTAAACTTGTTGGTTGGTGACATACTAACCAAGTTGGTATAGTTAACTGTACATCGTTGTATTATTTTGGTGATATTTTATTTTAACCATAGCATATGTTTTACAAATTTTCTGTTAAACTACCAGTAAATCAGGTAAAACCGGTAAGGAAACAAATGAACAGAATGAAAATGGTCTTGAAAAGTTTGGACCCATTGAAAGTCATTCTTTGTTTGCTTGTTTTGTGCATTGCCTTTTGTGTACTTGTGCATTCATTTCACTGCAGTAAAAATAGTAACATTACAAATGTCAAATCTGGTGCTCCTTCGCCTGCTTTATTCATGCATTTCTTTCATTTTGAGATGTTTGTAATAGATTGCATTAAAAAGTAACATGCAGACTGCACAGTACACTTGATGTTGCAGTGTACTGATATTTTCTTAAAAGCCATATTGTTTGAGAGAAATTACTTGTTAAGGATTAGTGGAAACTTCATTGGTTTTTAAATTGGAAGACTGAACTAAACTGGTTATAATTAGGTCAGGCTCTCAGGAGTCAGTTTCTCGCTTTCACTAGTCAAGATTATTGGTCAAGGGCCAAGGCCCTGGTCTGTTTTTCCTGATATCCAAACATCTGTTTGCATAGTTTGCCTCACTGTAAGAGCCTTGGTTTTGACTTTCCTATCATAGCATTTGGAGATACGCTGCTTTGTTAGATGAGAAACCACTTAGTAATAAAAGAGTACAACACAAATGAAGAGAGCAAATGAGCTCGCATTTTAGTTTAAGCCACTCCTGGACTGACACCTTAAATAATATAAATTCACCACGTGTGAATCAAAAATTGCATTTGGTTTGTGCATTCAACATTCAGCCCACTTTAGTCTCATCAGAACATGATTTTCATCCGAAATGGCACATTTGTTTTGTTCTGTGGATCTTCGTATGATCTATTCTCTATGGACTGGAACTGGAAACCATCTATGTATTGAATATTTGTTGTTTTCTGTTTTTCACCCAGGCTCTTTGGAAGCAGAGAGGGAACCATGGAAGCTCTGAAGGGCTTTGATATCGACGCCCCACACTGGGATCAGTCCACGTTCATGGGCCGTCTCAAACACTTTTTCAACATCACTGACTGCCGCACTGTTCTGCTGCCTGACTCCAGACTAGATGAAGCCAAAGCTTTAGTGGAGAGCTGCAGGTGAAGAAATGGATTGATTTGATGAGGTGATCTCTCTCTCTTCTTCCCGTTTCTTACGTTGTTTCGCTTCCTCTCTCCCCCAGAGCTGGCTCTGTTCCTCCTGGCACAACGGTGGAGCAGCTACACTATGCCAAGAAGCTGTATGACTCTGCATTTCATCCTGACACAGGTGACAGGATGAACCTGATAGGGAGAATGTCATTTCAGGTGCCTGGGGGAATGGCCATCACGGGGTTCATGCTTCAGTTTTACAGGTCACAGTTTATTTGATTATTTCTAATATTTATTGTATAATATATATAATAATACATAATTATTTATAACAATATGTACTTTATATTTGAACAATTAACCAGCTATTTTGTATGGTCGTGT